CCTGTTGTGTCTGTTGTTGGGGGTGGATCCTTTGAGTCCTGTCCTGCATCCCACAGATGCTCCATCAGATTGGGATCTGGAGAATTTGAAGGCAATGCTGACACCTTGAACTCTTTGTCACATACCTCAACACTTGTGTTCTGGCATTCATGTGGATGCTACTTGACATGAACCATCCACCCAAACACCCCCTGATGGCAGTGGTCCTACCATCAGGACAATGCACCATGCAACACTGCAAAAACTGCTGAGGAATGGCCTGAGAAATGTGACAGAAAGTGCAAAGCATCATCCTGGTCTCTAAATTAATCACATCCCAATCCGATCGAGCATCCTTGGGACATGCCAGTACCCCAGAGGTACCCCCGCTCCACAGTGGGGCCTCCTTGGGCCGGACTTGGGTCTGACCTGTTGAGGTATTAACACAGGACCTCTGGAGGTGTCCGGTCATGTCTTGTGTTAGCAGTGGATCTTTTGAGTGCTGCTGGTTGTGAAGATGGATACTGGCACATCCCACAGATGCTCAATCAGATTGGGATCTGGAGAATTTGGAGGCAAGGCCAACCCCTTGAGCTCCTTGTCATGTACCTTGACCCTTGTGTCCTGGCATTCACGTGGATGCTACTTGACATGAACCATCCACCCAAACGCCCCCTGGTGGCAGTGGTCCTACCATGAGGACAATGTGCAATGCCACACTGCGAAAACTGCTGAGGATTGGCCTGAGTAACATGATGGAAAGCTCAAGGCTTCAACCTGGTCTCTGAATTCCCCAGATCCCAATCTGATCGAGCATTCGTAGAACGTGCTGGAACTCCAGAGGTACCCTTGATCCACAATGGGGCCTTCTTGGGTCAAACTTGGCTCTGACCTATTGAGGCATTAACACAGGACCTCTGGAGGTGTCCTGTTGTGTCTGGGTGTTGGCAGTGGATCATTTGAGTCCTGTTGGTTGTGAGGGAGATTACTGGCATATTCCACAGATGCTTGATCAGATTGGGATCTGGAGAATGGAGGCAAGACCAACACCTTGAACTCTTTGTCACGTACCTCGGGCTGTTCCTTAGCAGTTTTTGCTGTGTGTTATTGAGCATTGTCCTGCTCGGGGGGGCACTGCCATGAGGGGGTGAACTTGGTCTGCAACGGTGTTTGGGTTGGTGATGTATGTCAAGTGGTATCCACATGACTGCCAGGGCCCAAGGACTCCTGGAACAACATTGCAATCTAACATGATGATCAATTCACCTGTCCCATCTAGTTGAGATACTGAACCAGGCTTCCAATGACATGTAGGAGTGTCTCAACAAACTGAACAAAAAAAAGGATTTTGCTCAGTAAAAGCTGGGTGAACATTACTGACAAATTGCTGATAAATGTAACTTAACTTGCAGCCATTGTCCTGTTAACTTGTTGTCGCTGGTTTCCTGCCACCTTCTTGTCAGACCTGTAAGGGCATTTTAGTCCTTAGTGAAAGCACATTCACACTGCCTTTTTCATTTACTTTACGTCTGTCTTACATACAAACACACCCACATACACGCACACACTCTCCCAGGCAACCCTGTTAATGTCTCCTTGGCAAGTCCCCAGCTTTAGGAGACTGTCTCCATTTGGAACAAGACACTCAGGACTACCCCGGTGATGTCATACCCTGGCATCGCTCCTTTTCTCTCTCTCTCTCTCTCT